GAGCGGCGGGCTCCGGGCTGCCCGGCTCCGCGCCCCGCGTCCGCGTCGGTGCTGCGGGTCCGCGCTGGCGCCCCGGGAGCTCGCAACTTAAGGACACGCCGGCGGGGTTTAGGAACGTTTGACGGTGGTCTGGATAAAGCCCAGCTCCGCGCTTTCCTTGGGCAACGCTTCAAAGCCTTTTCTGAATTGAGAAAATGTGCGAAAGGTTATGGGAATACCCACCCATCTAGATCCTTCCTAACCACACCGATGCCGAAAGCCTTGTCCCGTTTATTGTTGGTGGTTTCTACATGTTTTATTACTGTTTCCTGAAAAGTGAAATCTTTACACTTCTTCAGTTTTTATTCTTTATTAGTACATCTTTGCATTACGTAATGATTATGGTCCTTGTGGGGAATTGGTACATATACTAACACGTTTTAATGTAGTTTTTCATTTCTTTCCTTCCTCTCCCTCTCCCCTCAATCTCTTGATCGCCTTACCAAGTGGACAAAATCTGTCTCCGAACTTCTGTTATCAATGGAAGCATTTGAATTTTAATGGTATGTTGAATTGCCAAAATGTTAGAAAGGATACCAATCAGTCGTGATTTTTCAGTCATGCTGCAATATAAGAGTTATAAAGACGTAATTTATGTCTTTAGGATGTGCAAGGTAGGATGTTGGCTAAGGCTGCTTTCTTTTGAGACTTTTCAAAAGCAGAAGTGGCCCTAACACAAAGCCAGCTGGGTCTAATACTGATCCCCAGAATGTCAGAAGTGAATTGTGCAAGGCAAAAAGTTTAAATCAAGTTCTACAAAACAAACATCAAACGAAAAGATTGCAACTCTCACTTGCAGCTAGAGGCCTTGCTAATTCCAGAGCTGCCAACCGCGCTTAAACACGAATGAGCATTCTAAAGCCCATAATAACCCTCCTGTGATAGGTGCTAGGAAAATGATTAAGAGGCTGTGAAAGAAAACCTGGGCTGGTTAAGGAAAACTTGGTGCATCCTGTTGAAGAACTTGGACTTGAATGAAGGCTGAAATGGGATTCTTGCCTTGTTGGGAAGAAAGTGAAAACAAAGATGATGAATACAATATAGTTTCACATGCATCTTCTCATCTATTCTTCATAACCCTATGAAAGTGCTAGAGAAAAATGATACAGGAGCAGGTAATAAATGTAAAGAATATTTTTTTTCACTCTAAGCACAGACTATGTGTCAGATTATTTTTAATGAATTACCTCATTTCATATAATGCATTTATTGAGGTACTATTATCTGTCACTTTAGAATAAAGAAACTGAGTTTGGAAGGGTTGAATACCTCCAGCAAGGCAACTCCATTTGATCTCATCAGAACTCAGTACCACCTAAGAGGATAGAAGAACAATCTAAAGAGGGGGCTCAAGGGGAGCCAGCAAGGTAGCTCAGCAAACTGAAACCCCTGCTTAGGCAGGCTCAGACAAGCGCAGGAACCGTGGTTCAATCCCTGCACCACATGCCATGCCAGCCCCACCCCCAAGGCGGTCTGGCCACGGTGACTCCCAGCACTGGGGAGGCTGAAAGCAGGAGGATCACCATGAGTATGAACTGTGTAGCGAAACCCTGTAACAACCAAATACATTAAAAAAATAATAATAGGGGCTGGAGAGATAGCTCAGTAGAATAACTACTTGCCTAGCAAGCGCAAGGGCCTGAGTTCAATACCCGGTTCTGCCAATTAACTAATAAAAAGAACCATTAAGAGATCTCTGAGTTTAAACAACGGAGATCAATACAGGTTAGAGCTTTCAGTTATTAACACCTATTGAGCAACTGTAGTATAAAAAGGACCTCACTGGGTACCATGAACCAATGGCAGATAGCAAGAATAGAAGGAAACATACAAAGAATTACACAACAGTGACACGTGTACAGGAGAGTTGGGTACGATGCTGTACCTAGGTAGGGCCAGTGAGGCTGCACAGAGAGGGCAGTGTCTGAGATGGTTCTTGAAGGATATGAATGATAAGTCAGTTGAACAATTTGTCTCATAGGTATATTCAGCTGAGGAATTTGTTTCTGGATGTTTGCACTAGAATATACTAAAATCAAAAATCGTGCTATCTAATAAAATTAAAAGTAAGACAGATATATTAAAGCCAAACCATCATATTAACAGGAAATTATTGTGATGTATGTAATAAAATGAAATGTAATTATTAGTTAACAGGAAATTATTCTGTTGTATGCAGTAAAAGGGAATTGAAAGTGTTGTTTCCACTTAGATGGAACCACACAAATATCCAAAATATCAATCTAGTAGATCATCACCAACCCCTCTAGTAGTCTTGCAATTTGAAAATAGAAAAATCTAGACTCAGAGGGGTAACTTACCCATCTATACATACTATAAAGTGTGAAGTTAATTGTTTTAAAAAGAAATTTCAATTGAAAGACTATTCTGGGCTGGGGAGATAGCTCAGTGGCAAGCCTGGCAAGCACAGAGTCTTGATTTGATCCACAATACCAAAAAATAAATAAATAAATAAAAAAGGAAAAGAAAAGCTATTG